GTTAATTAACAAAGGAGATAATTGACATATTTGATTAATTTTTTTTTGTGTTTTAATCAAAATCCTTAAATATTTAGAATCGGGCATTTCGACAGCTGCATTCAGCCAGACACAAACTTTCGATTGAGATATAAAACATTAAAATCCATCAAACCGTTCTCTAATTATAGTCGATTTAGTTTAAATTAATTTTTTTATATTAGGGGCTAGACTTTCGGGCGTTCATACGTGCATAAACAACGAGCAGAAGAGGGTGTCATTCTGAGGCCTCCACAAGGTTAACGGGAGAGAATTGAAATCGGGCATTTTGTGATTTCGATAGAAGAAACTATGACGAATCGAATGACGTATAGATTTTGATCATCGGGTACATCGTTTACGAGTTATCACCACTTAAAAAAGGCTATTTTTGTGTTATTTTCGTGTACCTTCGCATTATTTTCGCGTTTTAGCGGAATTCGAAAGAGATTTCGAATCGGGCATTTCCACTTTTGTATTGGTCAAAGATTAAGCTTTCGAATGAGACATTGCTTATCGAAATCGGTTGACTGGTTCTCTTGTTATAATCAAAATACTGTACATATAAAATCCTATCTAATTGGGGGCTAGAAAAATTGGGTTGGCTAACTTCGCATAGGTCTAGCGAGAATGGATTGTAAAGAAAATTTGTTGTAAAAAATTTTTAGATTGGTGAACGTGTAAAATGATTCGTTATTGACCCTGATGTATTCCAACACGTTTCGTTTGTCGTCGATCCCTGTTAATGGTCGATGAGATTGTGAAAAAGCCGACATTCGCAGAACGGACGAAGGTAATTGTTCATTAGCGGCCCCATTCTATTATTGGGCGAGCACTCGGAACGACTTGGCACTCACGACTCATTGTGAACGGACCGCTCAAAATTCTCAGCACATTGTCGCCCACTGAACCTATTCAGACACTCCGCGACACTGCGAGGTGATTATCGAAACCTGTGAATTCAGTCACACCAGTCTGAATAGCCTCCCTTTTCAACTCGATTTCAATTCCTTGTGGGTTGGGTTAAATATTATTCAATACCTACCCTTAAAAACGCTTATCATTAAAAAAAATCGATCGATTCAAAAATTATTTAAATACGCCAATCTCATCGCCAAGTGCGTCGACCTTGTGGTATATTTATACATATTTTAACATACGTATTACGTGTGGTGGCATCGTTGAAGCCACGTCGATTTAAATTCATGTATGCGTCCGCGCCCCTCTGCGCGACAAAAATAACATTCCAATCAAAAGGAAGCCCCGTGGTTTCTGGGTCGCAAATCAAACAGTCATCTCCTCTTCGTCATCCCCCGTTGCACGTGTTTTTCGCACGTCTTCTGTAGTTGACGAAGTGGAAAACTCTTTGAGGTCGCAATAAGAGTTTCCAATTTCCTGGAAGCCCTTCTGGTGTAACTCCCTCCCCTCTCTATCACCATCGTCATTCTCAATCGACACCATCCCGGTGTAATGAACACAATAACCGATCCCCTAAGCGAAGGCGTAAGGGGCGGACGCGGAGGAATAACAAGCCTTGTGGGAAAAGCTCACAGACGAAGCCGCGGAGATTATGCGAAGATATCAGCGCGCCAGTTGCTATCGATTCCTTGCACACGCGGAATGCCAACGTGCCACTCGGACGGTTATAAACCATAACGATAATGGAACGCGATACGTGCGGTGGGAAGAATAACGTCGTAAAAATTACAGCCCTATGTGTACACATATAAGAGCGCGCGAGTCGTATTGGATGACGAGTATTATATTCAGGGCTGTAAAAGGAAACGTTAGTGTCCCCGTTTTAGTGGTAATCCCTGGAATCGATACCCGACAAAACGTTCATATCAGAGAAAAAAGGACAAACAAACGATGAGAGCAAACATTTCTTAATGGAAACCTTATAACGTTACCATAAACATTTTATTATTATTACATTTCTACAAATATTAAGTACTATTATATCCAATCTAAACAGAAACAGTAGGTAGCAATTGGTTTAATAAGCAACCTTTTATACTATCTATTATATTATTTATGTATAAATGGTAAAAGCGTAATACATTCAGAAACACTCTAACCAACTTAATATGGGAATTGGAAAACACACAGCTTACGCAAGCTAACTCCGTCGCATCGTGTGACAGTAAGATTGATGCACATAATCAAATATTCGCCAATTCAACTCTACGTACACGTCAGATGACGAAGAATGTGTCGGCATTTGCGTATACGCCGTTTTCGAAACGTCAAAGACTTATGAGAAAAGCTTGCGCAAGTGCAACATTTTAACGCGCAAAGCGGTGCCGACGACGACGACGATCCTTCCATACGTAAATACGCGCTCAATTTAAATGATTGATGGCCTTTTCAAAATAAATACATCGTCTCGAGAATCTCTACTTTGTTTACAAGATAGTCGAATATCAACTGTTAATGGTATGTTTGTTTACTTAGTTTATAAGTAACGCACTGCAGCAGTTTGGAAGTCGTTTTGTTGATGAGTTGTGTTGTTTTGATGAAATTTGAAGATTATTTTAAATAAATTAATTTGATCATATAAAATTTGGAAACAGTGCACAAATTTAATCGGATATAGGAGTGGTGTGGGGTCAGGGGGATGAGACGAAAATCGCTAAGTACGTAGTTCCGGATTGCATACGAAAAAGGATTTATTATTTACTCTGCGCCATTATTCGTGTTTAGTCTGGAGTGAGGAGATACCGTAAATCCCCATGGGCGGAGATTAAGATCTACTTTATAAATACGTGAACGGTAGGATGCTTTTACTGCCATTCCTGTACTACATCTTTGAGGAAAAATCTCGAGTTACGGAGAAACTATTTTATTTACATTTACACCCATCGAGTTATATATAAACTAAAATAAAATTATAAAATGTCTGTTTTTATATTTTATACAACCCACCCTACTTGTAATAAATACTAATCATTGCGTGACTAATTGTAAGTGGTTTCGTTGCGTAACCAATTTCTTATTTCAATGGTAAAAGACAAAAGCAAAGTAACAACACAAAAGGAAAAGGTTTTTGGTTTAAATATTGATTACATTTTCGACAGCACCAACAAAGTGAACAGTAACAATCTTTTCCCCTGCTTTTTGTTTAATTTAGCATCCCAACCTTAAGATTCCTGACTTTTAAAGGTAGCAAAAAACTAAATTACTTAAAAAACTTGATCTTTTTTGTATTTAATATTACAACTATTACAAATCATTACAAAATTTCAAACCTTTCTGACTTAGTTCTGACTTAGAATCTGGATTCAAAAGGTCTTGGTATTGTCAGCTTAGTTGATCTAATGTCCAAGCCCGAAGTAAGTAAGGCATGCTATGAGTTAATGCGTTAAATACGAGGGGCGTCAAAACAACCAATTATGTAAGGATAAAGAAATTAATTCTTTTTTTTTTAAATAGAGATAAATAAAATACAATCACACTATCAATTTACAATTTACAACAACCATTGTAAGTGTATGAAACATTTTAAAACAAAGTGAATAAAGATTAATAAGATAACACATTTTAGAATATCCTCAAATTTAGAACTGTCCAAGTTACTTTGTGGTCACTTTCTACTCCGATTAACTTTCAATTAATTCATTGCCCAATTAATTAATAGAGTTTTAAGTCGAAATAACATATTAAAAAAATTTTTTTTGTGGATTCGAGATTTGTAGTTCGTCCTCTTTTTTATCTAAATATAAATTTAGAATATAATGCATGTTGGAAGTTTCTGCCTTTGAGGTTGACAGCTGTATCTGCGAGAGTAAAGTAACAGAATACGCTGCAAGGGGGATCTCCTACAATGGAAAAGACCGATAAGTGGGTTTTCATCGTTTACTGAAAATATCTGCTCCTTGTTTATCTATGTATCCGGTCTCTCTTTCGTTTTTTTTTATGGTTCTGGTGGGCGTCGCATGTTATTTGAGTCCTTTGGCCTCCCGAAGAGCTCCGCGTGGCATTGTGTTACTGTTATTTTTAATGAACATTTTTACCAGCCGTACATCCATCATTCCCCTTTCCGCCCGAAGCGCGGAGGAGGAGGAGTTGAGTCTTGATGGGATTACTAGATATCTGCTCATGCAATCTAGATTAAGGATGCCCTGTCAAGTCGGTTGGATACACGGCCCGGTTAGCCTGAGGATTGATAAAAGAAGTATGGAGAGCAAGAAGTTACATTATTACGATCGTGTTCTTGTATTTCAAATGCTATAACTCTTGATCGAATGCGCAGTAGTGGTAGTAGTTAATATGAATATTGTTGGGAGTAGAATTGCGTTAGTCACGGGGAATAATTTGTAGCATCATTATTATATGTATCACGTAATTGGTAGCTATAAATTAAAACGAATTAACCAGTTTTATTATATTGGGGAAATGTAGCTCGGTTATTATACTCGTTATTAACGACCAAAAATAAATATGATAAGAGACGGGACAGATCTTTGAAATTGAACGCAATTTCATTACAATAATTTTTCTCGGAATTTATATAAAAAATCATCATTACCAAATAGAACGACTCTGTTAATGAATGTTAATAAATGAGTAGTTATTCGATTCCAGTTAGCATTGAATTCCAATTACCACTAATTGCAGTTAATTAAATCTAAAAGTTTAAACGATTCCACAGAAGTAGGTCACTCTATTATAACCTCTACGTTATTCCTTTAAATTAATAGCACACTTCATGAACTTAACGGATATTTAAATTTAAAGTTTATGCAGGCATTATAAGTAAGTCTAACAATAAGGTTTCATTCATTAATTATTAGACTAAATTAAAAAACTGTAATAACAGTTTTTATCACAACTTCTTATCGACTATTTATTTCATTATTTTTATGTAATGCTATAAAAGTTAATGCCCTTATCGAGAATGTTCTTGGCAAACATTGACGACACCTTTGTCGTTTACAACCAATACAATAAATCAGATTATTTATGACTTAACGCTTTTATAATCGTCACTTGATCAAATCGCATATTAAAATTAAAGATTATCTCTTGAAGTAGACGTATAAAACAGGGTAATTTGCGTTGAGGATAAACAGTAGCGAAAAGATGTTGAAACACACGGTAGTTTTCTTACTTCTCGGGCTTTTGGGTAAAGTATTTTTGTTGAGTTAGATAAATCATCGTAAATTTTATAAAATTCTAGCCCATTCTTACGTATTACGCTTCGATACTGAAGAGGGCGCACCGCCAGCTGAAGTATTACCAAATGGTGAAGATGAAATCATTGACATCATTGATGATATTGTTAAGGATGATGGAGCTCCACCAGCGGAAGTTCTGCCAAATGGTGAAGACGAAATTATTGACATAATTGACGATGAAGGTGCACCACCAGCTGAAGTTCTGCCAAATGGTGAAGATGAAATCATTGACATCATTGATGATGAAGGTGCACCACCAGCTGAAGTTTTACCAAATGGTGAAGATGAAATTATTGATATCATTGATGATATTGTTAAGGATGATGGTGCGCCACCAGCGGAAGTTTTGCCAAATGGTGAAGATGAAATTATTGATATTATTGATGATGAAGGTGCACCACCAGCGGAAGTTTTACCAAACGGTGAAGATGAAATCATTGATATAATTGATGACATTGTTAAGGATGATGGAGCTCCACCAGCAGAAGTTTTGCCAAATGGTGAAGATGAAATTATTGATATTATTGATGATGAAGGTGCACCGCCAGCTGAAGTATTACCAAATGGTGAAGATGAAATCATCGACATCATTGATGATATTGTTAAGGATGATGGAGCTCCACCAGCGGAAGTTTTACCAAATGGAGAAGATGAAATTATTGATATTATTGATGATGAAGGTGCACCACCAGCGGAAGTTTTGCCAAACGGTGAAGATGAAATCATTGATATCATTGATGACATTGTTAAGGATGATGGAGCTCCACCAGCGGAAGTTTTACCAAATGGTGAAGACGAAATTATTGACATAATTGATGATGAAGGTGCCCCACCAGCGGAAGTTTTGCCAAATGGTGAAGATGAAATCATTGACATAATTGATGATGAAGGTGCACCACCAGCGGAAGTTTTACCAAACGGTGAAGATGAAATTATTGACATCATTGATGATGTTGTGAAAGATGACGGAGCTCCCCCAGCGGAAGTTTTGCCAAACGGTGAAGACGAAATAATAGAAATAATTCCATAAGTGTGTTTGTATCGTATATTATGTAATAAATGTTCATATAAATGACATAAATATTAGTTGAAGTGCAATTAAATAATTACGTTTGTATAAAATTAACATTTTCAAACAAATCTACATACTAGGTAAAATACTAGGCAGCCACCAATAATTACCTTTGGAGGTAGAAGTTCATAAAATAGAGTTACCGTAAGGTAAACATGAAAGGTAAAGGAAAAGGTGTGGAATAATATTACCTGTGGGCAAAACAGACACGGCAGTTGCCGCGGCGCTGTTCAGTTTTTAGGTGTACAGCGCCTCTTGGTCCGACCAAACAAAGCTCGTCTGATTTATTGCGCTTGGCAGGAATTTTATTATCCCTCCGCCGAGCCTTTTATTGTGTCCGTTCGCTAACATTTTATTCCTTCGGCAATGGAATTTGTTTACGCCGTCCGGACGTGCTTATTTCTATAGAGCAGAGGCGTCAGCGATTCGCGCACATAATTACCGTCGCGGCAGCGCCTAACAAATGGGCGTAAATTGTTGTCATCGTAACGCAATTCGCTCTTTATCGGTCCGAGGGGCATTGTGAAAGCCGGCGACGACGAGGCGACCAAACAATGGGTAGAAACGCGGAAAACGTCCCGAGCAAAACTTTACGGGAAATTCTATTGAACGTTTTTGCCTCGTTTACCATTATTAAGCGGTCACAATTGCCGGCGTTCAATGGCGATTCGAGATTTATTGATAAAACCGAGAATAGCCGTTAATTGAAAGCCCGCGATCGTCAAGTGGATAACGGATTTATTCAACAACACCATTACATTTAGTTACTATTTTTAAAACAAAAAAGTTCCCAAAATACTCGGTAGCCGAGTTTAAAATATCGACGATTCAAATCTAAATTCACAAATTGCGTGGCGTTTCGGTCCAATTTAACGGACGCGACGTGCTCGTTTTATATTTTAGTTTTTATTTACGCGCATCGTTCCGAGATGAAATACGTTCACAGACCAGATAAAATTCCCTATACCCGAGCGCCGCCGCCACCATCACACCGCCGACCTTTTAATTTATCGGGCCCCGGAACTGTGACGTCCGCTGCTCCCAGTTTAACGTGGTTTAACCCGAGCCGAGCCAGCGAGCTCGAGCTTGCCTGTCACTGGCCCGCCCGTCATATATAACAATGTAGAAGGGTCCGACGTCACGTGAACATCCGTTATTCGATCGGCGGCATTACCGCGCCGCAATGGCTAATATGTTGCCTTAATTTATTGCGAACCGTTCGGATTTATTGGGTTAATAAACGTCCCAGGATATTAGTGTGGGTATACGGTTGAAAAGCCTTTAAGATATGGTTAATTGCTTCTATGCCTGATTGAATAGTCTAGATAAGTCACTTTACTACTGCTAATACTGTAAATCAAATGGGATATAATCTTAAAGTTTATTTTATAAGAAAACCACAGAGATACAAGAAAAACTTTTTTGTAGCCATGAATAATTTATATAATAATTCCATAACATCCTGCTGAAGAATATTTGTTTCTTATTCCTGCTGCCAACAAGTTCATTTCTTCAAACCCAAATCATTTCGCTAAGTTAAATTTCAAATTTTCTATATACTGAAACTCATCATCAATTTCCTCCTATGATAGAGACATATCAGCATCTGCATCAGTCAACATATTCTGAATAACATTATCCAAGTCTTCTAGTGGGTAAATTCGAAACATTGGCCGAATAGTGCAACCCAAATTGGAACGCTTCTTTCATGGAAAATGTCATAGAATGAACTCAAACCGTTATCAACAATGATGACAGTCTCTTAAAAGAAATCATTTTCAAATCATAATAGAGAAAACTTGAATGTTGTAACAAATATTAAAAAATCGCATTATTTGTTTACACTATTCCAGAGATGTCTAAGAAAATAGAGTCATACCGCACATCTAATAACTAATAATACATAACTTGTGAAAAAGTAGACTTGTGCAGAATAGGGTCGAGATGGGGGCTGTCTGTTTCCGGACATGCAAGGCTTTCTGTTTTGCCTATGGTATATAGGAACTTATTGAAGTACCCATGGCGGGAGAGGAATTTGGTAAGAAAGTAGATAACCTTCCCGTAGCTTTGCTCTTTCCATGATGCGATATCAGATATTAAGCGTGCCGTCCATCGTCCCCTCGCCTCTCGATCTCATCTATGCTGCCCCTCTTGATACGTTCAGGCCTTGTTCAGGTCTCTTTCCTGTGTTCCTCCCTTTGAGGACTTTCTGTAGGCGCTGGCTACACGGAGAGCTCCCCTGAGCTGCACAGCCACCAGACGTCTCCACTTATCGTTAGTAATTGTTTTTGATCATGCCTCGCTTTCGTATAGCAGAATTGCATGAGCTACCAGTATCCTGTTTGGTGTCGTTGGGCCACCGTTGTTGACCATTAAGCATACAACAACTCCTGCGGCCATGTCGCACACCAGCTGAATTTGCTGCCCAAAGGTTACTTTATTGTCTATGACAACTCCAAGGTATTTAACGGCTTTTCCAGCAATAATTTCCGTATCGCTGATCGTCAGAGAGATTAACACTGGGATCCTACGTCATTACTCGTCCAGGTAAGTATTAGTCTGGCAAGAACTACGGCTGCTAGGTCATCGGCATATCCTATCCTTTCCGGCATAGAAATTCTTAGAATACCATCATAGAACGTCCAAAGTTCTGGTCCAAGCACGGAGCCCTGGGCCACCCCGCACGTCACCTTCCTGGTATTTCGGCCCTCATTGGTGTCGTATATAATGATCTTATCGAACGCGCCGTGTTGAAGGCCTTTCTTATATCCAGCGTGATCAAAGCCACAATGGGTCTAGAATAATGATTGACTCGTTGCGCTCTCTGGAAAGTATCGTAGCACATCTTATAATACATAACTTGCGAAAAAGTAGACTTGTGCAGCGTCCCATTCTTAGTACATTTTTCAAAATGCAAAATATTTGTTGCCAAACTTATATAGAAAACATCTGGCTATAAATATGTGATAAGCAAATGAGTCTTATAACTGAGTTTGTTACGAAATTAGAACCACAACTTAGTTGAATGAGTAATAATAATGTTAATTATGATAATTGAGGGGTGTAAAATATCTACAAATAGTTACAAAATAATAGTATATAAAATGTAATTGTTTTTTTTTTCACGAACATATAATCAACTTTTACAGAGCAAATAAAATTGCAAATTAATTGTTTTGCAATCAATCGATTACTCAATATTAACAAAAAGTTTTCTTTTTCAAAGCAACCATTGTTAGTAGTCGTAAAAATACAGACTCCCATCCATTATTTGTCTGACTTTCGAGTCATAAAAGCCTCAGAAACTCGTAACGCGATACAACAATCCATTCAGAGGCGAACTATTTCTGAACTGGCACGTCGTCGCTGTGGTCGTCTGTACAGCCGAAGACAATTCGCCATTAATTCCGGAATTGATGCAGGGCGAACCCTGCCGTTGCAAAACGGCAGGAAACAATGGGCCTATTGTACGGGTTCAAAATGCGCGTCCGGTCGGTCCTAAAGCCGCTTCCGAGCAGTACTCAAGTCGAGAGATCGACTGTGCATAATTACCACATGCTAGGACACGTGATATGATCAAGGGGCTGTTTCTGACACGAACTCAAATGATACGGTTATTACATTATAACATTTTATTTTTTATACTTCAAGTTTAATTTTAACTTATGAAATTAAGTTTTCCCATAAAATATTAATCGAATTTGCTTCAAAAATTGATTTAAAAATTGACGCCCACAAAATTGGACCACACCACCAGAATATTAATTCGACATTATCATACCCTCGTGTCTCACATAAAAGAATTATTAATTTAAATCAGAAACATTGGAGGGTGGGCATAAAACGGTTCCCCTCGTAAAATTCTTATGCACCCTTTGTTACCGTTTTTCCCCTTCATCCGTAGACAGCAACTTTTACTTTAGGGGCTTGGATCGTGTTACATGGCACTGCAGGGGGTAATTATGCACAGCTGATACCAAACGCAACTAAAGTGAACTTTTAAGTTTTTAAAATAAAAAAAAATGTAAAAATAAACTTCTTATTTTCATCCTTTTTGTTCGTTTAAAATGTTAAAAACGAACAATACTCTTTTGTTCCAACAGTCACCAAACAGAACTACAATTCTACAATCTACATTAGCATCTGAATGCTGTAATTGTAGTGGAGGGTAAAGTAAAAAAGGGAGCAACCTAGAATTTCCAACAGTAAAAACCAGACGGCGCGCACTACGCTAACAATAAAATCTTAATATCCTCGACAAACAAGAAAAATATGTAGTTTTGTCACTGTTCAAATAGCAAGAGGGACACCCGCGTTGCGTTGTAGGGTCGTCCCTTTTCGTACTTCAACTTCAACATAAATATTTGTTCACATTGCGGACTCGCTTCTGTCTCGATGCAATTTTTGTCTGAAAACTCTAAGCAGAATCCGCATCCCTAGTATTCCCCTGGGATCGTATTTATTATGTTGGCAATTTCACCCCAAAATTAAATTACCTTCAGAGCGAAGTAAGGTTGCTCGAAGGAAAAGTTATATGGGGGTACTACTTTGTCTTATTTGACTTTCTAGTTTATGGATTATGAGATTAACTCGTTTAGACTTATGAAATGTGTTTTGGAAGCAAAGTTTTATGACGACAAATAGTAATAGAAATAAAGTATTTAAGTTGAGAATAAATTTATTAATTTTTAAGGAAATAAAAATACATTTTTTAAACCTATTATGTTTTAAGTTTATTACCATCAATAACTTTCACGTCGAATAAAAACACATATTTTAAGATACAAGACATTTCTTTATTTCTTTCGGTGTTTTAAAAAATTGCTATCCGTTTTGAACTAGGTAAAATACCGGTCAGCAATCGATTCTTTGAATGGCGAAGCTCTATCAATCACCGGCGTATTCAGAAGGAGAATACGACATTCTAGAAGAATTGCTGGGCAATTATGTAGCGGAGA